CCCTACCGCATATACCTACCATATTACCGCGTTTTTAGAATTTGGATGAAATTCTACACCAATTTACAAATATGTTCAAAATCTTTCTCATTTGTTTTCCCCCTGTTTTTTTAACAGGCCTTATCCACTGAATCAATAGAAAAACTTCCTGTCTTCAACAAGTCAGCCTTAAGGCATTATCAAACGAGCATGGAGGCAGACGACTGGTGCATCCCGAGCAGCGAGCCCAAGAAACTAGGAAAGTACGAGTACAGTGTTTGAGAGGAATGAGAAGCACATACGATAAACATAAGGACTGAACTATAGTGGAGTTAATTTGGGTAAGCATCTATGTGACTGTTGAGGTATTTCAGACGCTTGGTTTTATCAAAGGGTTGATAATTGACTTTATGAATGCTACAGTCTGAATAACAAGGGCATTTTTGTCTTCCACATCTCACATTGCTTATAATACACCATGCATTTAATTTGCGGTGCTAACTCTTTCATTCAGAGTTTCACAGGACATTCTTCTTCTGTGATGTCAGAGACTTCAGTCGAATATACTGAAGCTGACTGGTTGTTTGAGCACTTGTTGATTCCTACACATTACCACAGATTCTGTAAGTGTGTTTTAGAGTATGTGAACTTGTGTTTTAGTCAGTGGGGCCAAGTTACCAGCTTTGTGTGAGTTATAGCATGTATTTCTAGCAAATATTTGGGAGAACACACAAGCATCTGAAAGTAACCAAGGCTTTATATATTTCCTTGGTTAAAAATGCATTCACAATGCAAATATTAGAATGACCATAGTTGTGTGTTGCTTTATTGTGATCTTGAAATGTTCCTCTAACAGTTGGACCTACTGTCTAACACTCCATTTAGTTTTGAGTGTAAAAATGAGATGCTGTCAATAAGGCCAAATCATTTCATAAACATGCGAGAGTTGTTGTCAAAATGACATCCAAGTTACTTCACTGACATTAAAAACAATGAATTTAATTTGACACTATCTAATATGTAATAATAATAGACTGAGTTGTGTTAGAAGAAACCGACAAAGTAAGTTTGGGCCCAGGTTCGTTGCTATGTTATTCATTTATTTAAAACTGGCTAGATGGATTAGACAGTGTTGCTTTTTGCTATGTGTGAAGCTTTTTGACCACAAAAATGTATGATCTTTGTGACAACAGCTTCTGGCTGAACATTTCAGGTATTCTGTATGAACAAAAATGACATGTAGCTCTATTTGATTCGTTTTTGAGCATGAAAACACTGAAGAGGCAATATTTTCATTATTTTCATTTGCGTATAAATGAAAGATAAATTAAATGTCTTGTTTTTAAATATATTATCTCAGGATTGTGCTGATTTGACTTTCTAGTTTTGTTTTTATTGTTGTTTTGTTTTCATTTTACTGTAATATTTGCAAAGTTGGTTTTTTGAAAGCAATGTGAAGGACCTGTATGAATTTTAAGGGAACTCAAGTGGCAGCAGCTGCTCTGTTTCAAGTGACACTCATCAAACTCTGGGTAGGTTTCAGCTGCTAGCAGTTTGCTCTGCTAACAAGTATTTGACTCATTCAGAGATGGAAGTATTTAGACAACCTCAATAGATCATTTGCACGTTTCAAGCTATAATCGAGAACTGACATGTTGATGTTATTAATTCATACCTCATAAGCTTAATTTGCAGTCATGGAGAGCTTGACATATCCATCCTCATGAAATCACACCTGCTTCTTGACGTGTTCTTGATACACAATCCTGTATTCACAATGAAGCAACTGTGTTAATGGATGCACAGTACGATTCGTGAAACTCACTCGTGCAGTGAGAGAGTGCCATTTTCTGTACTATTAAAACAATGAATGAAGAAAAACATTGGTTTCCTTTTCTTTCATGTCTTTTTTTAACTCAAATTTCATTATGTGGAACATTCCAGCTTGGACATTCTTCTAAATGCCTCATTTTGTGTTGTACACAAGAAAATCAGTCAAAACGGGTTTGAAGCAACATGATGGTGAGAAAATAATGACTGAATTTTTATTTTTGGATTAATTCTTTAAAGAAGCGTTTTGTCATACACCACAAAATATTGTTTATTTGTTTTACATTGTAATTGTTTACATTACATTGTTTGTTTTATATTGTTAATTTGTGTTACATTGTTTTAAGTTTTCTTTCTTTTGTTCATTTTTTCATATATATATATTTTTTTTATTACACTACCATACAAAAGTTTTGGGGTTGGTGTTTTATTTATTTTTTTATGTTTGTTTTTGAAAGTCTCATGTTCAATAAGGCTTCATTTATTTGTGTAAAAGGACAGTAGTGCGATATTACAATTACAACTGCTTTCTATTATTAAATGTTTTCAAATGTAATTTATTCCTGTGATGGCAAAGCTGAATTTTCAGCAGCCATTACTCATCTTCAGTCACATGATTATCCATGTTGAAAACAGTTGTGCTGCTTGATATTTTTGTGAAAACCATGATAATTTTTTGGATGAGTAGAAAGTTCAAAAGAACAGCACTTTTGAAGTAGAAATCTTTTGTAACATTATAAATCACTTTTGATCAATTTAATGCATCCTTTATATATATATATATATATACACAGTGGGTACGGAAAGTATTCAGACCCCCTTAAATTTTTCACTCTGTTATATTGCAGCCATTTGCTAAAATCATTTAAGTTAATTTTTTTTCCTCATTAATGTACACACAGCACCCCATATTGACAGAAAAACACAGATACCCAAAAATTCTTCATACAGTGAACTACCAGTAAAACTTATACAAATTTGGTACCAAAAATTATTCAGACACTTTGACCTGACCATGTTTTGCTTAAGTGTTTTGTCTTTAATTGCTAATGCGACCTTTTTACTCCACAGATTGAACAAAATAAAGCATTGCTTGGTAATTGATTGACCTAAATTGGTATTATCTAATTGTGTACTTAAATTTAACAGCTGAATAATTTTTGGTTGATTGTAATCCATTACATACATTTCTATCAAAGTTATCTGACATTATCAAGATGAGTTTGTTCTGACAGTTTAACTCTGAGTTCTTGTAATATTTTATTACCATAAATTATGATAATGTGAGAAATGTTGAAGGTGCCTGAATAAATTTCGGTTTGACTGTACGTCACATTCAGTTACACATACACATTCCCAAGCTTTTGAATGGTAGTGTAAACCATTTCGAAAGTGGTTAAATGGGTGTCACAATCCAATCGGTTGCATTATTTTGAGTTGGTGTTTTACAGTATAGTTTGTTGTATCTCTGTTGTGTAGCCTGGGGTATCTAGCAGGGAAGCTACACTCTTACTTAAGGACAGGATCTTGGCACAGTTCCTCAGTTTATTTCTGGCCTGTAGCCATAAACACGGAACAAAATGATCCGTCTTTTCTTTTGCACGTCTCTCCTAACAGCACTTGATCTGGTAGCTGTGACTGGTAGCCCTGCCCCCTTAGGAAAATAGTGCTATTTTAAGAACTAACCACCGCCTGACGACCTGTCAGTCACACAATGTACCGATTTTAAAACCGCACAACTGCTGCTAGTCCCTAATTTCCATAAGAACTAACATACACAGTGATTTTCCTCTACATTGTGGACTTGATTATTAGATTATCACTTTAATGTGCTTAAAATATAAAATATAATTGAATCTCATACAACGCAAAATAAAAGTTGGTCTGTAGCATTACAGGGTCAGAGGTTGATTTGTTGGTGGCGGTTTCTCTGTTGTATCTCTTCTGTGGAGAATAAGTGGAAACAGGCCGTCTTCTGGAAAAAAAGCCCGTACGGAATTTGTATAAGCAGATTTTTATTTTACATATCCCTGTACATATCCCTGTCTCCTGTGTGCTAGTTTATTAAATATTATAGCTAACAAGTAGCTACCTAAAAACATGGTCGGTGAGTACCGAAACACATACTGTACAGTAAACTTACACTGTATAGTGGGAAATTAGGTTCATCTTAGTGACTCGATTCTGCTGAATCCATTCAGAAAAAAGATTTGCTCAGGTTCATTCATGAATCACTTCCATCGTTATGCCAGTGAAGGTGGCAAAAATAGTCTTTCGTAAGATAAGCGAGTCATGGAAATTCAGTTTGTTAAAATCACCCCAGTCGCTCAAGATCAAGTTTTATTAAAGTCCTTAACTTTTCAAATTAAGCTTCAATTGCTCCACAGAAGTGAACAAGAATGACTCGTTCACCTAAAACGGATTGTTTTGTTTTTATTTGATTTGATCAAAAAATGAGAATGTGTACTTATTGGGGTAAGGTATAATAATCACTATTAGGGAACGTAAAACTGTAGTCCACAGAATTACAAACATTCATAAAGATCATTCATATTACCTTTATTCAAAATCTTGGATCCTAAAATTCCTCTAAGTGATTTAACTTGTCAAAAATGACCTTTAAAAACTCCTTTATAGCTTAAACTAATAAGGCCCATCTAAAGAGGTTCCATGACTATTGTATCTGCTCTCACTCTCTCATCAAGCACTTCAGTTTTTCCTCTGACAAAAGGACTAATGGCTTAGACATCTCATCCTATTCAGCTGTTATCTGTAATGTGCTGTTGGTGTACTCCCTGATATTATCCTCTTACGCTAAATATGGCTTTCCGTTGTTCATTTCCCCCTTAAAAAATGATCTACAGTCTTAGCCGACAAGCTTAAGACCTGAGTTTGATTATGTAGAGCAGATCTTGATAGTCTTTCATTAAAACATAAGGCTTTTTATATGCATGGAGTGGAAAGACCAATAACTTTTGAATGTATAATATTTAGAAGTACTATTTGGAATATTATTATTAGTATTAAAATCAAATGATTAATTATTTATATATTAAATATTTATTTTTAATAATGCACATTAATATTAAATACATCAGCCATCTAATTGTTCCCTGGTAAAGGATCAAATAAAGAACAAATATTTTGAAAACAAGAAGTAAACAAGTTTGCAGCATTGTTTGCATTGTAACAAAATTCGAATTTGAAGAAATAGTCATAAAGGTATAATGCAGAAACAATGTCAGTATATGATTCCTACAGGCTCCAGAAGCAAGTATTTCTTCACTGATGAAGGAAGAAGGAGATGCTGGACACCCAGTTCACAGCGATTCGACATTGCAGCTCGTATTGCACATCTGGCCAGATGCTGTAGAGTGCGTGGATTGTTGGTACAGACAGCAAACAAAGAATCATAGAAATTCCTGCACCTCTAAATGAAGAAAAAAGAAACAAAGTTGAAAAAGCAACACTTCATACATGTATAGCTTAGCCTTTCACCAAAACATCACTGTGTGCTACATTCAAGGCTTGCAGGGCAACAGACTACAAAAGAGAAATTATTATTTGCTCTTTTGTATCGTGTCAAGTCAGAATGTTTTGTTAAAACTGCAAGATACACTGCAATCATATTTTTAATCAGTATCGGTCTTGTTTTCAAGTAAAAAATATTTAGTGTCATTTTGAAACAAGAAACTATGTAAAACAGTAGGTTATTTATTTAATAACATTAAATAAAATTTAATTTTTATTTATTTATTTATTTATTTACTTGCTTATTTGCATTTTCTTCAAAAATTTTGGGGCTGTTTTTTTTTTTTTTATGGTTTTGTCTCTTTTGCTCACTAAAGGTGCATTTATTTTACCAGAAGTACAGAAAATATTATTACAAATTAAAATAAAGGTTTTGTATTTTATTTTAAAATGTAATGTATTCCTGTGATGACAAAGCTGAGCTTCCATGTCTTCAATGTCGTATGATCCTTCAGAAATCATTCTAATATGCTGATTTGGTGCTCAAGAAACATTTCCAAACATTTTTAAAGCAAGATAAACTTAAAAAAATAGATTTCCTATTTTTGCACTTATTTTAAGCATAGACCCTTCTAAATTTTAAAGTTTTTTTTTTATGTGTTTTACGTGTTTTGTGTTATTGCATTATATTTTCTCATTTTGTTTATTATTTGCAGTGTATAAAAAAAGTTTGTTTCTGACCTCATATACAGCTTCAGGAATAGCAGCCCTCCATTTTTTAGTGTACTTGATATGTTCATAAGAATTGACCATAACCTCCACTGCCCTGGGGTATTCATGACAGGCCTGCAACACCTACTTAATAGAAAGACAACCAAAAAGAACAACATTCATATTTTAAGATTCATCTTAAGTGCAAACACCATCTAGTTGACTATAAAATTTCCACTGACATCTTCACCCTTCAAATATACTATATGGAATAATAAAGCCGTTTGGGTGGGTGAGTGTCGTACCTTGTGAAACTGTGGTGGATACACTCGTGCTGCTCCGTAGTTCAGAAGCAGCTGATAGCAGCGTTCAGGAATGGCCCACGGCCTGATCTGCGTCACCTTCAGCAGATACTGTATCGCTGCGCATCCATTGATATCCATAGCATTAGTCTTGGCACCGGCCTCCAGTAACATCTGGATAAGCACATGGTCACAGTTCCAGCAAGCTTTGTGCAGTGCCGTCTTCTTGTCTTCCTCATATAAATGTAAGCTAGCATTGTGGTCCAACAGGATTCTGCAGACAAGATGGTGGTCTGAGCTGTAGGTCCGCTCGCGAATGTCCATTGCCCAGAATGCAGCAGTGATCAGAGGCGTCTCCGTGTAGCCATTGATTGCATTGATATCAGCTCCATGGGCAATGTAGTAAGCCACCAGCTCTGGCATACCATAGCGGGCCGCAGTGTGCAGAGGGGTGTCCTGGTTCTCCTTACTGGGCGTGTTGATATTTGCTCCTGCAGTAAGATTAGAAGATTAGAAGTCTTTTGTGTTTTTTGTCCAGTAAAAGTCCAGTGTTGTTTTGGACCCCAT